TGAATGGTTCTTTGTGGAACCAAAAATGGTTCTTCTATGGCATCGCTTGAAGAACCTTTTGAAGCACCTTTATTTTAGGTGTGCATTTAAACCGCTATGAACTAGATGTGATGTTCAACATGTGATGTTCAGCATTTTCATTCATTTTTCTACAAGGCAGGTGAAAAACAATCCAGCACCTCATCAGCAGAGTGGAGGGAACCTGCTACTGTATTGAAGACCAATCGGACTTGAAAGTGTCTCACTTCAGTCCAGTTGTTTAGATGTTTCTCAGATGCTTCTTCTGCATCTGTTCTAATTGTTTAATTTCTGAGCTTACAATAAATATACACTTTTTTTCCCCATGTACCTATGAGCATACCTTTGCACTTATTTCATTTAGTGATACTATAATGATGGATTAAAGATATTGAGACCTTTGTAATGTATAGCGTTTTAATTCTTATCGACTTTAAGAACATTATAAACTCATGTTGACAAAACATACACTACCAGTCAAAGTTTTTGAACAGGAAGATTTTTTTATGTTTTTTTTTTAAAGAAGTCTCTTGTGCTCACCAAGCCTGCATTTATTTGATCCAAAGTATAGCAAAAACGGTATATCATTTTGAAATATCTTTACTATTTTAGCTGAGTTGAATTTTTTCAGGTTTCTTTGATGAATAGAAAGTTCAGAAGAACAGCATTTATCCAAAATAGAAATATTTTGTAAAATTATACATTTCTTTATCATCACTTTAGATCAATTTAAAGCATCCTCGCTAAATAAAAGTATTAATTTCTATAATTTCTTTCCCCAAAAAAATAAAAAATAAATTATACTGACTCCAAGCTTTTGAATGGTATCGTGTATAATGTTACAAAAGCTTTTTATTTCAGATAAATGCTGATCTTTGGATCTTTCTATTCATCAAAAAATCCTGAAAAAATGTACTAAACTGTTTTAAATATTGATAATAATAATAATAATAATAAATGTTTATTGAACAGCAAATCAGCATATTAGAATGATTTCTGAAGGATCATGTGACACTGAAGATTGGAGTAATGATGCTGAAAATTTATCTTTGATCTCAGGAATAAATTACATTTTAAAACATTCAAATAAAAAAAATATTATTTAAAATATATATTTTACATTTTACTGTTTTTGCTGTACTTTGGATCAAATAAATGCAGGCTTGGTGAGCAGAAGATACTTCTTTAAAAAACAGAGAAAAATCTTACTGTTCAAAAACTTTTGACTGGTAGTGTACAAAAACAGATTTTCAGGTGAAACCCAAATAGCCTTTGTGGAAAGTTTCACCAAACAGCTTTTATATTTTATTTTACAGGGTGCACAACAGCTCAAGAGTCATTTTCAAAACAACATGAGGGTAAGATTTATACATATTGTGTAATGAGGACAAACAATATAAAGCCACACTTGAACTGATAGGATTTTCTGTGCTCACAAAGACAGCTGTCTGTGATAAAAAAGTAAGTTCTGAATATTGAATTAATCTGATATCTATATGTACATAAAAGGGTTAGATTTGAGGATTTATTAGCCTTAATTATATGATTTCAACTAAATTGTTTCAGTAACTTTTGTAAATGTTTCACTTTAATGTTATAGCCAGTGTTTTTCTTTACAGGTTACATTTCGTAACCTGACTAGATTTACTAATTCACAAGTTTAAGGCACAAACTTTCTGCATAAAATACTGTCGACATCTCATGATCAAACTCAACAGACGCTGGAGTGTGAAAGAGCAGTTATCTCTATAGTCACATGTGGGACATATAAATATATAACGGTCACTTAACCCTATATCTGTGATGAACATTTTAGACAATGAAGACGCAAACGGTTTTGTCCCGTTAAGGAGTCCATTTATGAGCATCATGACTCAGTGAGCAAACTTCTTGCAATGATCATCCTCATCACTTCATTTGTACCTAAAAAAAATAAAAAGTTAAATAGATAAATATATATATATATATATATTTTTTTTTTATACTATTTTAAATATATTATTAGATATATTACAAATTTTTTATAAGACAAAAACTCATTACCCTCCAATATCTGATGTACTCTAATGTCTCTGACGTACTGCTGCACTGCATAGTCCTTTAGGTAACCATAACCTCCATGTATCTGTAAGGCCTGGTTACATATCTGAAAGAGATGATCACAAAAACCTTGATGTATTTATGTAACAACATCAAACATGTCATCACAATCCGACAGAGCAATGTGTATATACACTTACTGAAAAACACTCATCTGTCACGAAGAGTTTGGCCATTGAGCAGAGCGAGACCGCCTCCGGTCGACCCTCCTGCAGAGCCACTGCCGCCTGACGCACCAGCAGCCGAGAAGCTACCAGCTTAGTGGCCATCTCAGCCAGCTTAAACTGCAGGAACTGAACACAGACGTCAATAACAACTTCCTATTTCTGAATTAACAGACATTTGACTGAATCCTATTAGACAGATCAGTGCTAGACAATTCAACTGGTACCTGGCTGTTCGATAGTGTTTCTCCAAACTGTTTCCGCACACACATGTGATCTCGGGCCAGAAGCACAGATGCGTGAGCCGCTCCAAGGGAACAAGAAGCTGTGGGTTAAAAAGAATTAACATTAACTCTTGTCCTGTGCTGAAAATCCTTGTAAAAAATTGCTTGTAAATCCCTTTTCTTTCAATCAGCAGCTTTTGTATTTCTTTTTCGAAACAATTGATCGCAGGCTTCATTGATCTGAGCTTATGCATTTCAATTTCTGATAGAAAAAGCATTATTTGTGGATAACTTTGCCAGTGTTCACTCAGAAACTGAGGTGCATAAACTCAGATTAGGGCTGCACGATAAATCGCATGCGATATTTAACACGCATCTTGTCAGAAAGCCGGTTCTGTAATCAGTGGTAAATCTCTTAAATATCGCATGCGATTTATCGTGCAGCCCTAGCTCAGATCAATGAGGCCTATGATCAATCAGCTCCAAAAAAAATAAAAAAATAAAAACTTGTTCTAACTGAAAGAAAACAAATGAAATTTATCAGCAAGAAATTTATAAGCAATTTTTAGGACATTAATTTTTGGACCTGGAACACCACAGGTGCAACAAAAAGAGAAAAATCCCCAAAAAGTATAAAACTGATCAAATTTTTAGGAAGTCAGTAAGTTTTAGTCCAATGTGATAACATTCAAAATCCTCTCTGGGTTCAAATGACCGCAACACAAATCTGTCAAAATAAATAGGTTATCAAAAACGGTTTCAAATCTAAGTTAAGAAACAATTCACCAATATTAATTCTGCCTCCATTAAGGCCTTTCATGGCAATGTTGAAGCCATCCCCCTCTGCTCCAAGCCGATTGGTCACTGGGACAGCGCAGTCCTCAAATATCACGGCTCGGGTTGGCTGCGAGTTCCAACCTACCTGAAAGATGTTGGTACACCGATTATAAATCACAAGTGATGATATAACTCAATCCTGCCATCTGCTGGATAATCTTTACCACTCAGTGGTAATAAACTTTAAAGTATTATTAGTAAGCTAATAGGGATATTTATAAGGCGTAGAGATGGCTCACTTGTGAATACTGATGTATGCGGTAGTGCTGACACAGCCTGTGGATAAAGCCTCAAATATGATAGAGGTGTCCAGACGAGAGAGTCCAGACCCCCCAACATCAGGGTTCACGTAAATCCCACCAAACCCCAGCTGGGCGGCTTTCCTCATGGCCTCCACAGGGAAAATTTCCTACAAGTGAAGATATTAATGACGCTCCACCTTTGTAAATGCTTCAGCATTAAATATAAACAATAAGCAGTATTGTCAGATGTGCAGGTTACCTTTAGGTCCCATTCTGCCATATGTGGTGCCATCTCGTTGGCAGCAAAGTCAAATGCCACTTTTTGAAACTCTTTTTGTTCATCTGTGAGTCCTATAGAGGCTGTGGAGATATGCAGAAATGTGTATATGTGTGTGTATATATTATATATTAGTTATATATACTAATTATTAGTTTATATTGTTTATCCACTGTATGTATTAGCAGCAGCATCTGTTGTAATGACCAATCAAAGGAAACGGCGTGTAGCGTCTGGACCAATCAAACACACAATATATATTTTGTTAGCTATATTTAACAAATACTCTGTAACACCCCTCAGTTAACAAGCCATATGAGGACCTACCCTTCCCCCCGAAATGTGTAACACCCCAAGATGTCTGTGAACGAGGCCCAGGACCCTGGTTACCCAGGGAATTAACGTTCTTAGAATTGACAGACAGTTGACCCTGAGAGGTCAAGTAAATATCTACAGCGGATCTAAATATTTATAATTAATTATAACTAGTTATGATTAATTATTAATATTTCCCCATGAGCTGATTCGCTACAGGCGTCTGATATGAGCCAATCAACTGCGATCGATACACACCCCCAAATGTGATTGGTTGAGCTTATTAAAAGCCAACCAATAGCGTTTGCACGAACCCGATTAAATTATGTAGGTTATTAAAACGTAAAATTTTATAATAAAATATATCAAACAACATTTCTTTATACACTGTACAAATTTTCAACTGTCAACTTTGAAACTCCAGGAACACTGCCGTTTAATGGAAGCGTTAAATATTGACTCAACAATCCTGCACAACTGAGTTTACTAAACAAAAATGTAACGTTAGATTAAAATGGCATGTTGATGTATAACTTCAATAAGATTCAAATTAAAAACAGACTGCTTTTTACCAATGGGACCAAACTTAACTCCATTTCCACATAAATTAGGCCATCGACAGGTATTTAATATCATAAATTTGCACCAAAATGACATATTATCGAATATGAGATTACATTAATTAAAATCTACATTATATCTATACCATCTTTATTAAAAATTTAAAACCATGGTATTTGAAACATACTAGTAGTCCTAAATGACTGACCACTTGTCGTTATTTCTCAACCAACAATGTTGTTATTATCACGGTCTTTAAATAATTTGACTTATGATCAATGCAAGCTGCTATTCCTCGTCCCTGTACATTGTTAAATATTAAACTGCGACTTCTACCGATGCTATATGAACCCAATCGGACACCTCTTGCGAGCACCCTAGCCGCGGCCATGTTGATTCAGTGACGCGTTCAATCACCGAGAGGATGATGGGTAATGTAGTTCTAAACGCTTCACACTTGACAGGTAGCTTCATGTGAATCATGTATGCTTAGAATCAACGCAGCTTTAGTTGTTTTTATACCACACATGAGTGTATTAAATTTAACTTGCAAGCAGTTTTGATAATTATAAACGTTCTAATTGTAATATACTCCACATTCTGTGGTTGGGTTTTAAATAAAAGCAGACTAAATCCAGAAAAGATCCTCCAGACCACATGCGATTTGCCAGGGCGCTGTTTTATCACGAGAAATAAACATTTCCTCACATTTCCAGTGAAACATGCCACCCAAGAAAAGAGCACGAAGCAGCGCCAAATCTAATAAACATAGTAAGTAATCTGCTTAATATAAGGGTTGCATCGTTTTTTTAAAGTCATCACTCACTTTAAATAATTAATTGCTTCTTATTTTAGCTGATGCAGACGCCCAACATAGTGAGGTGTCTGATGATGTTGCACAACTCAAAACTGGCAAAAGAAAAAGGTCAGGAGTAAAAAAATGATGTGGAGAAAAATAAAAATCTATGACGACGCATGCAAAACATTTTACAGCCACTGGCTCATGAAATCTGAAGCTGAGAGTCGGATTGAAAATGGAGTGGATGTGAAGGTAAACCCTTTTTGTGTGTGCCCACGGTTTTGTTTTGTTTGTATGTTTGCTTGCAAAAAGAAAAAAACATGCTTCTGTAAATCAAAATTATGACATAAGAAGTCACACTTATGACAAAATGTCAGCTTTTTAACTTAGGATGTCATAATTTAAACTTTTTTTTTTTTTTTTACCTCATTATTACTTAGTATCTCATAGTTTTGACTTCTCTCATACTTACAAATTACTAGTGTCTCATATTCCTGACATTTTAACTGTCATTTTTCACCTCAATTATGACTTCGTACCTCATAATTTTGACATTTATCTCATAATTATGACTTGGTGTCTCACATTTTTTCTTATGTAATGGAAACTGACTTCCAAATGAGGAAAAAGTTCAATAATGCAGGAGCTTTTTTTATTGAAGGAGATTTTTAAGTGTTGTTACTAGGTGAAGTTAAACCTAATTATCTCATTAACTTAAATGTGAAGTGATGCTATAAATATTATCTTGTCATCCTCCAACTGCAGTTTGGAATTGAGGACCTCAAATCCCTTCCCAATCAGACGGGATGCTGGGATGGAGTGAGGAATTATCAGGTGGACTATGATTATTTGTGTTGTTATTGACTATGTTTATCAAGAAGCACATGCAGAACATTCACTTATACTGAGACCTGAGACTTTTCTCCTCAGGCACGTAATTTCATGAGAGATATGAAGGTGGGCCAGCAGGCTTTCTTTTACCACAGTAACTGCAAAGAGCCAGGTATTGCTGGCCTCATGAAGGTGAGGAGTCACTACAATAGAAGCTTGATCACCACAAATATAACAATAGTGAGAATGATTATCATTAACTATTTATTTTTACAGATTGTAAAGGAGGCTTATGTGGACCATACACAATTTGACACGAAAGACGCACATTATGACCCCTCCAGCAAAGCAGACAACCCTAAATGGAGTATGGTGTGTCTTTACACAGACCACAAAAACATTCATAAAGATAACTTTATGTTTTTGCCTTCAGAACTGACCGTAGATTAACTCTGTATAGGTGGATGTTCAGTTCGAAAGGATGACCAAGCGTTTCATTCCTCTGACTGAGCTGAAGAAATATCACTTACAGCACAAAGCTAAAGGTGAACCCTTAAAGGATATGGCCCTCTTCACCAGAGCCAGACTATCAGTTCAGCCTCTCACTGCGGGTTAGTTGTATTTAATAACACAAATAAGTAAAATATGTCTTCTCATTTCCATGTACTGTAGTGTAGCATGATTTAAAATGTGATTATAAATATAAAATATTTTTTTTCTTAAAAAATAACAATAATGTTAAATGCTGATTTTTTTTTAGCTAAAATAAAAGTAATTTATATTATATTAAATATATTTTTATAATTTATTCAAAGTATTTAAAATTATTTTAAAATTAAGTCCAGATATTCAGCTGTATGGATTTGTGAAAAGCAGTTTATTTTTGATTTGTTATATTTGTTAATATAATTATTATTAACATTAATATAATTGTTAATTAAAATAATTGTTAGCTCATACTTATTTTTTTCTTCTTTTCAGAGGAATTTGACTTTGTCCTGAGTTTGGAGAATGAAGATCCAAGATGAAAATCACCATAGGAAAGATATTTGCCCATAAAATAACTCCCGCACTTCCTGGATCTTCCTGCAGGGGTAATTAAAAAAAAAAAAAATTATTTCATAATAAAAGTCTCTGCAGCTCTGCGATTGGGAAACAATAATGATGTGATTATTTAATAGAAGAATTTCTTTATTATTAAATAACAATGGTAAACGAAAACCGATTACATGACCACATTTACTGTACACATACATGGTCACTTCTTTTAACTGTACCTGAGAATATTATAATCTAAGCATAATATAATGGATTATTTATTGATAGTACAATAGTGTAGTGGTGTAAAGAATTAAACATCTTGGCGGTAATGCTATTCAGATTTCATCTCTAATAATGTGTTTTGATTTCACATCGCACAAACCACACATTAAAGATAATACAAAAATAATTGGACAACAGTTTAACATATGACAAATTTCCTTATAATAATAATATACACTGCAAAAACAAAAAATTCTAAATCAATATTTTTCTCTTGTTTTGCAGTAAAATATATCCAAACATCCATAAAACTTGAATTGATCATCTTGATTTTTTTTTTTTTTTTTGTTTAGCTAAAATAAAAGTAATTTATATTATATTAAATATATTTTTATAATTTATTCAAAGTATTTAAAATTATTTTAAAATTAAGTCCAGATATTCAGCTGTATGGATTTGTGAAAAGCAGTTTATTTTTGATTTGTTATATTTGTTAATATAATTATTATTAACATTAATATAATTGTTAATTAAAATAATTGTTAGCTCATACTTATTTTTTTCTTCTTTTCAGAGGAATTTGACTTTGTCCTGAGTTTGGAGAATGAAGATCCAAGATGAAAATCACCATATAAGTCCGTTTCATCTCATCATTCTCTCTCACTTTAAATGTTATAGTCAGTCTTTTCTTTATGTAATCTACTGTATACTCATGTAACTTCGAAATACCAAATAAGCAAATAATAATCTTAAAACATTTTAATAATTTTGTTAATAAAATATTTGCTTGTGCTTCTGTCTCCTTCAGATCACTTAATAATACCAGATTTCTACCAATAATACCAGACTGATGAGAAGTCAGTTATCACAGGTTATTTTAAAGGGGTCATATGATGCGATTTAAATTTTTCCTTTCTCTTTGGAGTGTTACAAGCTCTTGGTGCATA